ACAGCAATGATGCAGAATCGTGCATTCCTAACGCCGATGAAACAGTCGCCGATCTCGCCGAATTTGACCTTATGGACTACGTCCTTAATTAAAAATACAAAGAAGTCGAAAACGAAAAACCCCAAGACACTGCAACACCCACAAATCCAGAAGGGAATGACGACAATTCCGACATTACAGTACACTCGAACAACGATACCCAAGGAAAATACTTACCAATTTCCGAATTACCCTCAAATTATGCTACGAATCGCCTTGTAATAGACTTCGGCGATAATTTCAAGCACACTTTTTCCAAACTTTCAGAAAAACCACCACTTTGTAAGAATTTGCAAAGAAGAAAGACAGGAACACATTATAAAAATCATTAAAGAAATTATAAAGCCTGACCCCACTTTTACGATTTTTATACCTAACCAAGAGCTGAAAATAGAATTCCTAAGAATAATTTCCGCAAATCTAAATAACTCAGCAAAACTAATAATGTCGAATACTTACTTAACGGATGTCCCCAGTGAAGAACAACAAAGAGAAATAATTGCAAATTACCATAAAAACAATCATAACGGCATCAATGAAACTTATAACCATCTGAAACAAAAGTACTACTGGCCTAAACTGAGAGACGCAATAACAAACTATGTAAACGTCTGTGAAATCTGTCTCCAAGGAAAATATGAAAGACATCCATATAAAATCGCGTACGAAGGTCCATTGCTTGCAGAGAAACCCTTCAAAACAATTCACTTAGATATCTTTCAATTTTCACAATGCCAATTTCTCACCATCATCGACTCTTTCTCAAAATACGCCCAAGCCTACCACATACCTGATAAAAATTCTATCACTATACTCAGCAAATTGAGACACTATTTTTCACACCATAACCTACCTCAAAAGATCGTCTCCAATCAAGGGAAGAAATTCCAAAATAACGTTTTTAAAGAATTTTTTCAACTTTTTAACATTGAAGTCCACTATACAACTCCCGGAAATTCATCTTCCAACAGCCCTGTTGAAAGACTTCATTCCACTATTCTGGAAAAACTCAGAATACTGAAAATGCAAAATCCAGAGGAAACCCCTCAAAATCTTATGATTTCAGCGATTTTAATCTATAACCAAAGCATTCATACGACCACAGGTCATTCCCCATTCTCTATCCTATATGGTCCCTATATTAATGAGTCCACTATAAACAATGACCTAACACTTTTCGAGCAATATAATGAGAAACGGAAAAAGGAGTTGCTACCATTTCACGATCATATTTTCAAAACCACATACAACAGACAAGTACACAATACACAAAAACAAAACAAAAACATCGAGGAACCCCCAAACATAAAAACAAATCAAACAGTATTTAAAAGGAATCCCCTAAGAAATAAAATAAACCCCCAATATATTAAAACAAAAGTAACGGCAGTGGATAGGAATAAAATAACAGGCATTTCCAAAAAACAACCCGTAACCACGCACATGAGGAAATTAAAAAGAATCAGAAAAAATCCTGTTTCTTTTCAGCCTCCCGATCCTGATCCTGCAGGCTCATGTGAGCCCTTACCAGGCCCTTCAGGTCTACAAACTTCCTAATAATGGTTACTATGAAGAAGAAGTGGCAATATCCCTTACCATTAGTTATTATCATACAACGTATATACCCTTTAATATTCTAGCATTAAGTTTACATTATCTCAACTAACTAGTAATGTTCTAATATTACAGCATTTAGTGAATAATCAAAATAACAACTTTACAAAGACACAATTTTCCCATTTATCTAAAACATTAAACAATGCAAAATTGAATGTCTTTGAACCTAATCGCAAGAAACGCGGTCTAATGAACTTTATTGGTACTGGTATCAAGTTCGTCACGGGAAACCTAGACAATAACGACTTAGAGACCATTACCGAGAATTTAGAAATTATTAAACACAACCAATTAAATACCATGCATAAGATAAATAACCTCAGTTCATTCGCAGGAAATATTATGAATAAGTATCAAGAGAACATAAAAATTTTAAATCAAAATTCAGAAAGTATTAGGTCTGAGTTTTCAAAAATTAACAGCGATATAAATCTAATATTATCCATTGAGGATCAATATATCCAGATAACGAGCCTGAATCACATCTTAGAAAAACTGTTAAGAATTTTCTCCTTTGCACATTTAAGGACGTTAGACCTTGAAATTTTGAGCTTAGAGGAAATTAATGAAATTTGGCGATATTTAAACCTACACCACCCAAAAAACACCCTTTGGCCCATTAAGCATATTTAAGAACTAAGTCTTATTTGCAAAACCGGTCATTTAATATTAGACGAAATGGCAATTCTCGCAATTAAAATACCAATATTTGAAAAGAATGTATGTAACTTGAAGTTTATCTACCCTATACCAAGTAATGAGTCAAAAATTTTAATTAGTCCTAGCAAATTTTACTGTGACGATTTATGGTATAGAAAATGTGAACAAATTAATTCAAGATGGGTATGTTCTGATCCACTCATCAACAGCTGTTTTTTACCAAATAATTGTCAATACGCTATTATGCAAAATAATTATCAAGTTCATGCGTTAACTTATAAAAACTCACTATTGTTTTGTTCAAAAAATTCCGAAATAATCTACGAAAACTGCTTTCAGTTTCAAAAATTAAATGTACAGAATTGTTCTCTTATACAAAGCCAATGCGACGTTATAATCAATCATCGCAAATATTCATTAGCTGTAAATAATGTATCTATTATACAATATCCTGAAACCCTCAATCTTCAAACAACAAACTTCTCCATTAATCTTCAAATCAAACACCTAGAGGACCCAGCGAAGATCCAAGAAGACCTTTTAGATCGTATAAACTTTGAAGAACTCACTCCTCAAACACAAAGTTACTATTATTTTATGTTTACTACTGTATGTATTATCCTTATATATAGTATTAGCATAGCTCTGTACCAGTGGAGGAAACATAGATACCTTAAGGCCATTCCTGTGAAGACACTCCAGAAAATCATCAACGAGGACGTTGAAAAATCTGAGGGTGGAGGAGTCATATCCCTAGAATAGCTATTTATTGCTGATTATGCATTTATACCTTATATATACGATTGTTGCAATAATTAACATTAACATTATTCCGTGTCAAAGCTAGACTTGCTGTTCGGGTGATTGTTCACCTTAGAATTAGTTACGATTAAGGCATTCCTGTAACGTAGTTTAGGACTTAGTGAAAATAAAATCTTTTTTAAAAGAAACTCCGAGGATCTCTTCATTTAACTAGCTGATAGTATTTTTAAAATTTTTAGAACCAAAGATGTTGGAGACGGCTCAACCAAATATAGACAAACTATATAGTTTTGGAATCGGGAAATTGTGCTCTTCAAGAATATAAAACCAAATATAGCGCATCCCATTTGAAAAAAGCTGAAAGCATGCAATATTTCACATTTCTGATATTTAATTTTTGTTTCTGACCATGGATTCTAAAAATTTAGCCAATACTGTACAACTTTTGTATTTACAGCTTTCATCTACCTGTACAGGTAAAGGCTGTAGGTGGGGTGTCAATATATAAAAAAACCACCCTGTATAACATCATTTTCTGAGAGATTGTTTGTAGAAAAATCAAATTAAACTTAATTATATTCCTACTAAAGCGCAAACAGCTGATATAGGTATTTACAAAGGCTGTTACTCCTCAGAAATTTTACTATTTCTGTAGCAAATTGAATGTAACAAACCTGTATTGATATTTTCGTTTAATTTTTTCAAGAATTGTATTTTGGTAATAAGTTAAGTTTTTTCATGTTTTTTCTGCATCGATGGTGGGACAAGGTTCATAATTCTATTTCTAAGCGTCAAATTCACTTCCAAGTTCTTTTTTTTTTTTGATAAAAAGACCAAAGTCAATAAATCCTTGAAGGTTTGAAGTCATTTTGGGGATTCAAAGTATCAGTACAAGCTTTCAAAGGTAAGCAAAGAAGAATTTTACATGTTTTTCCTGGAAGTGTTTATGACAAGTAACTTTGTAGGTATATTCATTAGAAAAGTCAAAATTTTCACTTTTTGGCCCTTCAAAATCTCTCAACTTTGATATCTCTGTATGTACCTGTGAGGGATATTAGGACAACATTTCCAGGAATTGTATCTCTTATTAGGCCGGGTTTATGGCTTATTCATTTTCAGATAAGCTTACTGGTAACTATCTGCAAGATAAATTTACCGATCTATAATCCTATTGGTCGGTGGATAACTGGCCGATCACTGGGATTACAGATTGCGTTTTTATCCGTCAGATTGCATAGAGTTTATCAGAAGGTGAACAAATCGGCCCTTAATATGCTACAAAAACTTTTATATCAAATAATATAATTCTATTTTTGAGACTCAGATCTTGTTTCATTTGATAAATTGATCCTAATTAACAAATTCTGTGGAAGTTTGAAATCACTAGATTGCTCACAAACTTTCAAAGATGATTTACCAAAAATTTCATAAGTTTCTGTGAATCGATGTGACCAAAAATTTCGTATTTCTATTTCTGAGTGTCACATTCACTCCCAATTTGTTTTGTTTGATAAAAATACGTGAGCGCGCAGAACTGAACCATTTTTCCTCATTTAAATCACGCGTAAAGATCGCAACAATTCAAATTTTCAAGGTATAAAAATAATGCCGAAGAAAATCTTTTGTAAAGCTTGAATATCAAGAACAGAGTCAGAATAGAAGACTATGAAATTGGACAGAAACTTTCTAGTAGAAAGGATATAAGATCAGTGAACTCCAAGACAGATTCTGGACTTGATGCCCATAGAGAGGAAAACCAAGAACATTCTGGATCTGGAAATCAAGACTAACATCAGAAAAGCATATTGATAATGATCAAGGAAGTTAGTAACTTAAATTAGAACAGCTTTTTCTGATGTTTGAGTCAAATTGCAGAGCCTCAAAAGATAGTCCATACTTCTAAAAAATAATCAATTTCTTACCAGGTCTATTGGTTAAAGCTGTATAACAAAGGGGCGCAACAGCCCCCTCAGTAGGGCTGTCGGGGTGCTCTTCCTCTTTTTGGTCCCACAATTCATTTTCGTTGGTTATCTGATACTTGTTGCCCTTTTTCACCATGTAACAACGCGGCATGACGAGCGTCTATAAAATAGACAAAATTTTCGAATTTTAAATAACCCACCGACGAAAAAAAAAACTAAGTCCTCAGTTTAAACTATCGATCGCAGTGTCCCACTCACGATACAGAAAACACAGGTGGTTGAAACATTAAAACCAAAGCAACAAGTTAGCGAGGCCACTGGTTGAACATTACCTTGTAAAACTGATTGTTTATGAGTATAAACTAAAAAAATCGGTCACTTTTTGAATACAAAACTTAAGTTTTTTCACTTTGGCTTCAACCCCTTGCCGCCTACGCGTTAGCTATGGATAGGATATTTCCAGAGATCACTTCGTTCAAAATTCGAGCGATTTACCCACGAAAACCAAAGATCCGTTCAAACCGTCAAACTTGAGCTTAAACCACAACGAAAAATACACGTTTTTTAGGCACTTTCATAGCTACATGAACCCGGAAAAGTTGATTGCAGTGCTATGTTGATTGGGGGAGGAAAAATGTACGAGGGGTGCGCGCGCTTGCGCCAATAATGGCCAGATTTCTGGATCAATAACTGAAAAACTACCACCTGTTACGAGTGAGGGACGTAAAATGAGAGGGTCGGGGTCGGAACTGGTTTAAAAACGGGGGGTCGGAAGAGTTCGATGCAATTAAGATCGGTTGGTAGGTACCGGAATGCTAATTAGTACCTGAAGATTCTTGGAAGATTACAAATCATTTATGCAGATGATGTTTTAATTATTCATGAAAGAATTGGATCTTGACACTTTTAGGTAAAGGTTTATTGCAAAAACGTAGTTTAAATGAATAATTCCAGAAAATATTGATTTTGATGGTCAACGATTATGCAGAATTCATTTTCTCAAAGTATCAGGTATTCATTCATAAATTGATACCTGACATATTTGGCAGATAAATATCTTGAAACCAAAAAAAATAAATAAAAACAGCTACGAAAGATGAAACGCCAAAGATATTTGACTGTTAATTTTCAGAGGGGTTTGATTCAAATAGTGTATTAAATATTTATGTGAAATTTACTGAACCAGGAAACTAGAAAAGTTATCGGTACGAAGTTTTCTCCAATTTTAGATCTCGATTGGGGCTTCAAAAAAGGTTATTTGGGGTACCGAGCCCTGAGGCTTCATTTTCGAGATAATCGGCTTTGAATGTTTTCCAAAATTTGAGATAAAGTTTCAACTTTGAGGCTCAACATCTCAAAAACTATTTAAGATAAATGATTCAAGTTTATTTTATATCAGAGAGTATTTGATTCTGATTAAGAATATATAAATATACATTAGAATTTGTGGAATATTAATTGAGTAATGAGCGATTTTGTGAAAGGGTTGCAGGAACAGTTTCGGAATTTTTGGTTAAATGAAAATGTTCAAAGGACCCCGCAATATTTAAATGGAAATTGGTTACCCGTGATATTTGGATGAAATTTAAATATGCCATTGGGAATGCCGTAAGCAACATTTTTTACCATGGGCACAACCCTGTATATATGACAGGTGAAGCGTGGTTAGCTGTCAAATATTGGAATCTGATATCCAAAAGCAGAGTAACTATGGCAGATTTTGATGAACAAAAAATCTATTTCCACTAAGTCGAAAAATGTCAACCGTTTCAACACCTGTCAAAACCCTGCCAAACGGCAGCACTCATCTTTTCAAGATTTCAATATTTTATGCTGTCATTTGATATTTTTAACTTAAATGTAAATTCTGAATTAAAAAATTGAAAAAAAAAAATGACAGCTGTCAAAATATGACGTGCATGAATTTTGTTCAATGTTTTATCACCAATAAACTACATTAAAACGAGAAAGGATCAAATTAGAGTATTTTTTTCTACTAAAACAAATGACAGGTTTTGACAGTTCTGTCATTTTTTTTCAATTTTTGATTTTAGAATTTACATATAAGTTAAAAATGTCAAATGACAACATATAATATTGAAAACTGGAAAAGATGAGTGCTGCCGTTTGGCAGGGTTTTGACAGGTGTTGAAACGGTTGACATTTTTCGACTTAACTTGGTCGACTTAGTGGAAATAGATTTTTTGTTCATCAAAATCTGCCATAGTTACTCTGCTTTTGGATATCAGATTCCAATATTTGACAGCTAACCACGCTTCACCTGTCATATATACAGGGTTGTGCCCATGGTAAAAAATGTTGCTTACGGCATTCCCAATGGCATATTTAAATTTCATCCAAATATCACGGGTAACCAATTTCCATTTAAATATTGGGGGGTCCTTTGAGGTTCAATTGCTCAGAAAGTATTTGAGCTATCAAACTCAATGTTAGACTGTTTTCTAATTGAGACCTGCTTTTTCGATTAGAAAAGTCAATATTCTGTAAATATAAAAAATAAAAATTTCGAAATTACCTCCTTTGAATTCCTATTTCAAAATCTTCAAGCTTCAATATCTTGAAATCTGTCAGGATCAAAATTTTTGAGAATTATAGCTCTTATCAACCTCTAAAAAATCTGTTTTGGAAAATATTTTCAAGATTACAGTTTTTGAGAAAATTGAGTTTGAAGTTTTTGACTAAATTTCGACTAAAATTTAAATTTGAGGCTCAAATGCTCAAAATGTACTTAAGCTATCAAACTCAGTTTAGCATAGATTTATAGAGAATTTAATGGTCTTCTCAATAGTGTATAGTTTTTTTTTTATTTTTTCAAATTTTAATAAAAATATTGGCAATTTTTCTTAGCCTTGTCATGACTTTTTTAAAAATTCAGAACCAAAAAATGAAATTTTCATTTTGATTATATTTGTCTTTGAATTGGTCATTTGGAAATGATGTTAGGGTTTTTTTTTCAACTAATTTGGAGCCGCTCTATCGATTGAAAAAATTCGAAAAACATAACAAATTAAAATTTCGATTTTTTTCAAAGGGTTTTGTATGTTTTAAAAAAATCTATCAATGCCAATCTTGCAGGTCTGCATCAGGTACAATGAATAATTAAAAACCTAAATCTCATAGTGAGTGGTAGAGTACCTAACCGAACTAGCCTGCTGTACTACCGGGATTTGCAGAAGAGTTAAGGACTGAACATTGTATTATATTAACAGGTTTGTACCACATAATTAGTTAATACAAGTTAATAATAAAATAACAATAACACATGGTGTCAGGTTGACTGGATGAGTGCATTTTCCGTGTTGGATTGCTGTTTCATTACGAAAATTGGGAGTTTTTAGTGTTAACCTATTCAATAACAATGAAAATGGCCGAGTTGATGTTTAGACCGCCTGAACCACTGAGTTTAGAGGCAAACATTGCGGAAAACTGGAGGCTTTTCAAGCAAAAATTTGAGAATTTTATGGTGGTTACGGATTTAAGTGATAAGGATGAAAAAAAGAAATTAACCATCTTTCAAAACCTCATTGGTGATGATGCCTTGGAACTGTTCAACAGTTTTGATTAGTGTTTCACAAGACAAGATTTCTTGTCTTGCTGGGCCTATTCTTGTCTTGTCTTGCAAAACAAGACAAGAAATGAAATTCATTCTTGTCTTGCCCGACTCTTGCAGAAAAAAATCTTGTCTTGCAAACAAGATTTCTTGCAATTTCTTGTTCTTGTATTATTTGTTTTGTGACGTCATAGCAAGAGTCTTGCTTGCAAGAGTCTTGTTGCAAGATTCTTGCTGCAAGACTCTTGCATCATTCATTACGTTCAAAAGCGTTTCGGGGGCGTGTGTGGTAGCAAAACACGACAATTTTCCACCATGCACACACGTCGGTTTTGGAGCGACGTTTTTCATCATAGTTTGGAGGGCTCTTAAGATTATGATTGGTGTCATTGTCATTGATAACGTGGTTGCCATCTTTCCTGGTTTAAAGCCTTTTCTTTTCGAGGAAACAGATTCAAAAAGCCTTTTTTCTACAAACATCACTAAAAGGGTCATTTTTAACGGATGTTGTTAGTGTCTAAAATACCATTTTATGACACTGGTGTTAAAAGTGATTACTTTTAGCACTGAGTGCTAAAAGTAATCACTTTTATTGGAATTGTAGAAAAACTAGTGTATGATATTCGTGCTAAAAGTGACATTTTATTTTGAGAAAAGGGAAGTTTGGGACACGACGCCGAAGTCGGAGTGTTCCATCCCTTTGAAGAAATAACTATTTTCTACGCACTGAGTGCGGAAAAGTAGAATACCTGAAATTCTTAGGTACACAGGTACTTACAGGCATACAGGTACACTACAGGTACAGGTACGAAAAAGTGCAAAAAATATCTTAAATTGATAAATATGTAGGTTATAATATTAACTTTCATCTCGTAGAAAAAATAGTGTTCCTAACTCTCGCGGAATGTCTCTTTTCCGCACTTGATTGCTTGCCGAACTCTTCTGCGCGTCGTTCGGCAAACTGCAATCGCGTGCGGAAAAGTGGTACTTTCCGCACTAGTTAGGAAATATACTGTTAAAACAGTTTCAGCTCTAACGTCACTATTTTATGCACTACAATGCTAACAGACCTTAAGAAAAATTCGACTTGATTCTTTGACGGTTGAAAACGAAAAGGCCTTCACATTGAGCTTAAATTCAATTTTGTGTGTGCAGTGTCGTTGTCCATCATGATCAAAAATTTTCCTAGCCATACTTGCTGCATGAACTGTTAAAAACTGACATCTGTTTGAGTGTTTTGAAACTAGAATTTCAAAACGTTTTGTCGCAGAAAAATGCCTTGAACATTACAAACTGACATGCTGACATTTTTATCTCGTTGTTAACTGCCAAAATTACTTCAAAAATATGCAGAGAAGGAGACTTCATTTTTTTGCAAGATTTCTTGCAAGATTGCAAGAGTCTTGCAGAATAATTTCTTGTCTTGCTTGGCAACTTCTTGTCTTGTCTTGCTTTGCAAGACAAGAAATTTAAGAGAGTCTTGTTCTTGCAGCAAGAACAAGACAAGAACAAGAAATTTGCAAGAATCTTGTGAAACACTAGTTTTGATGATGCAAAAAAGGCAACCTTGGACTTGGTGCTGGATGAATTTGAAAATTATTGTGCACCCAAAGAAAAAATAATATTTTTGAAAGGTTTCTGTTTAATAGTATCATTCAGAAGGAAGGGCAGAATTTTGACTCATTTTTAACCGAATTAAGAAAGGGCATAAAGCACACAAAGTATAAGGATCCAGAAGATATGATAAGGCACAGGATTGTGATTGGAGCTGTTAATAAAGAGGTTCAAGAGAAGCTTCCCAGGGAGCCTAATCTGACATTAGCGAAAGCCATTTTGTTTTGTAGGTCGATAGAAGCGAGCCGAACGCATTCCAAGGCATTGCAGCAAGAACATAATGTTGCAGTTCATGCAGTGCAGAATCAGAATAAACGTTCCAGAAACATGTAAGAAGTGCCAACGAAAAAATAATTTTGCTACTGTTTGCCAGAGCAAAAAGAGTGTTCATGAAAAAATGGAAAATGTGCACGAGCTTGTTCAGGAATATCAGG